ATTTTTCCCCTGACAAGCCAAGGTTCTTGAATCAGGGCCAGGTGAAAATCCTCATCAAGAAATTTCTTGGTGAGGTTTGTGGTGCGAAGAACCTTCACCCCCATTGTTTTTGGAAGGTTTGTCTAGGACTTTGGCTTGAACATGGTGAAGTCCGATATAAAATTTATATCCCCTTTTGCCAAGTGTTGCCGCGTCCAGTTCAGGCACGCTAAGGACGATGGTCTGTCCTGATGGTTCGTTCTTCCGATGAAGTATGTTCCATTCGGTTGGAGTAAGCCCACCATTTTGTGCCTCNTAGCAATGATCTTAGTAGTTCTGACAAGTTTCCTTGCCTCTCCTACCAAGAGAGTTTGCTCCTGCCATGGGTTTATCTCAACTACAATCTGTTCCAGCCACTTAGAGCTCCCCAGATCTGCACAATTGATGATAAGTGCCCCATTTTCTAGTCTGCAAGAAAGAAAAGTGGGGACAAAACCCTCTTCATTTCTAGAAATTTTTTCAGTTATCAAGAACTCAAGGTCTAGGGCCTGTTCTTCGGATAAGCGCTCAAGAGGATGTCCTTCAAGAATCACAGCCGTTTTGACTGCCGTTAGAGCTTCCTTAAAGGTTATGCCTTCAGGTCCTTCTTTCCTGGCAGCCTTTGGGGCTACATCTTGTTCCATCCTTTGGCTTTGTCTTTTCTCGCCTCTCTGCTTTGGTTTGGGTTTTTCAACCCAGGTACCTTCAGCCATCTTCTTTTCTCGGGCAAGTTTCTTTTTCTGTGCACCAGATAGTCTTTTTTTAAGTTTGATCCCATCCATGGAGGCAGTCATGCTATTAATAGCTTCCTGCCCAACTTGAGATGTTGATTGGGTAGAGGTCATTTCTACCTCTTTTGATGAAGGGTTCATTTTTTCTCCTTCAGTTGGTTTGACTGATCGTTAAGACACGGTTCCCAGCAGATCACCGAAGTCAAGCATCACTGGCTGCGGTCAGTGTGCGGGTGGGTGACCCACTTGGATCAGTCTGCGTAGGGACCGAGGGTGTGCGGTATTGGTCCTCGTTAAACTGTGCTACCGTAAAGTGCTCGACTTCGCGTGCAGGTCGTTGGGCTACCGAAGCGGGGGTGCCATCCCCTCCGCAGAGGATCAAAATTGTGATGGCATGTCTTCGGATCATCCTCCGGGATGTTTCCCAGACCGTCGCCAATAGCCCATTGTGCAGCTCTAGTGCGACGTAAATTAACAACAACAACCTTCAGTTGGTTTTTCCCTGGTTTCCTTTTCTTTTGCAGGAAGGTCTACTTTGGGATTTTCACCTGCAAATGCAGTAATTTGAGTTGTATTTTTGTCATTTTCAGCCATAAATTACCTCAAATAAAAAGTTCAGGTAAAGTAAGTCAGCCCAGCATTGCCTGAGTTACT